TCCTTAGTAAAAGCATATTTTGCAAAGCATATTGTGATTGTGTGTGGTCTCTTTGTGGTTAATTTTTAATATAAGAGAAGAAACAAAGACACAAAAACTAGTTGGTACAGCATTTTTGAGCTGGGGTTATTGTAAAAAGTAAAAAACAAAAAAGTCTGCACATATCAAGATGTGGGCTGACTCCCCTCTGGGCATGATACACCAACATGTTTCCATGCTCCTTGATGACCTGCGAAATGTGGTGCAGGGTGTCCAGAAAGGGTAGTCTTATCCACAGTTGCATCGTCTATTATAATACCAGTGAACATGCAGACAGTCATTCAATCATAAGATGGGAGATTTTTCATATAGTTATTAAAAGGTTACCATATTTTATAGAAAGAGTGTATCTCATTCTTTAGTAAGTAAGTTACTTTCTCTAGAGGTATGCAACAGAGTTCAAGTATCTCAAGGTCTTGTTCAGGACTGAGGGTAGAATGGAGTGTCGGATGGATCGGCTGTTTGGTGTGGCTTCTGCAGTGATGCGGGCACTACACTGGACCGTTGTGGTGAAGAGGGAGCTGAGCCAGAAGGAGAAACTTTCGATTTACCGGCCCATCTACGTCCCTACCCTCACCTATGGTCATGAGCTCTGGGTAGTGACCGAAAGAATAAGGTTGTGGATACAAGCGGCCAAAATGAGTTTCCTCCGTGGAGTGCCTGGGCTCAGCCTTAGAGATACGGTGAGGAGTTCGGACATCTGGAGGGAGCTCGGAGTAGAGCCGCTGCTCCTTCATGTCGAAAGGGGTCAATTGAGGTGGTTCGGGCATCTGATCAGGATCCTCCTGGGCGCCTCCTGTTAGAGGTGTTCTGGGCACGTCCCACTGGTAGGAGGCCCTGGGGCAGACCCAGAACACACTGGAGGGATTACATATCTCATCTGGCCTGGGAACACCTCGGGGTCCCCCAGGAGGAGGAGCTGGGAGAGGGATGTCTATGGTGTTTTGCTTGGCCTGCTGGCCCAGCGACCTGGCCTCAGATAAGTGGATGAAAATGAATGGATGGATGGCACTTCTCAGAGCTACAGTCCAACAGGTAATGGAAGATCTGACCTCCACCTCATTGCAATACATTTTTTGGCAATAGCCAATAGGATGTCTATAAGCTTGATGCAATGGTTATGTCTGATTTTAGAATTGGAGAGGTTGCCCAAAAGGCAAACCTCCAGATCCTTTGGGAAAGTGACTCCACGTATTGTGGACTGAATGGGTTGATGGGCTTCTTTGCCTGGGCCTCACAGAGTCTGGGATCGCCTCTGTGTACTTCACTGGATGATTAATAGTTGTCGTTGGCTTCAAAGCATTCTCTCTCTCTCTGTGTGACTTTAAATTAAGTTAAGGCCAAACTCCATTAGGGCAGACAGGCATGTCGTGGTTAACACACTGGTCTGTAGAGGAGCTTCTTTCTCCTCCATCATGACAAAGATCCTGAAATAGATCAGCAGCAGCGCCTCGTAATTAGTACTGCGAATTGCACCGACAGTCCCAAGACAATACGCAGTCCCTCCGCTTCATACCAGTCCAGTCTCATGGTAACACAGCAACAGTAAATTCCATTACTGCTCCAGTTACGGTGCATCGTGTTTTCATAAAACTGATATGAGTAACAGTAGAGACTTTCTAAACTGTGTGATGAAACACTCGTAACTGAGAGTAAATAGATCAAGGAGCTGAGTTGCAGGAGTTTTCAGGCACGAAACGTGCTAATTATAAATGAGAAATCCTTTCATCAGGACCAACAGAGAAAGTTTCTGCATTAATGCCTTTGTGTCCTAATGTGAGAGTCTGGTCTCCTCAAATTAAAATATGGCTTTCAGGCTGTTTTGTATTCTTTTTAAAGTTGTTTTGTTTTCCCTTGGCCCTCCTCCCTCTCCCAGAGAGGTCTACAGAAACACATTTCTGCCAGAAAAAAACAAAGCCAGGAAAAAAAAAAAAAAAATTTCACATCACAATTATGAGCTTATTAGTCAAATTTTGACAAAGACAAAATTATGAGATAATCTAAAATTTGACTCATGAAGTCAAAACCAGGAGATCTGAAGTCAAAATGTTGACTTATTTAGTCAAAGTCAGGAGAGACAAAATCAAAGTTATGTGGAACTAAGTCAAAATTAAGAGATACCAAGGCAAAGTGATGAATTATTGATTAAAAATTAAGAGATACACAATTAAATTTATTATTCTGAGTCAAAATTGAGAGATAATAATTAAAAATTAAGAGATACTAAGGCAAATATTGAATTATTTAGTCTAATTTTTGAGATAGGGAGTAACATAAAAAGATTCAAAGTCAAAATGTTGAATAATTAAGTTAAAATTAAGAGATAATCAGTTAAATGTATGATAGAAATTAAAAATGATGTGGTACTAATTACACATTGATATTATTTTGTCAAAAATAAGAGAAACTAAGTCAAAATGTCGACGTATTTAGTCAAAGTTAAGAGATAGAAAGTAAAATTTATATGATACAATGTCAGCATTATGTAATATTAAGTCAAAAGTGTGTGATTTTAAGTCAAAATTATAAGATATAAAGTTAAACTGTTGATTTATTGAATTAAAATTAAGAAATACACAGTCATGCGTGTGTGACTTTAAGACAAAGTGTTGACTTAGGTCAAAATGTTTTTACTAAAAGGGTAATTATGTAATTTCACATCAAAATCATGCAGTGCTATGTCAAAATTTGGTGATACAAGGCCTAAGTTCCTAAGATCTTCAGTAAAACTTGTCCTACAAATTAAAAATTCTGATACTTAGTCCAAATTATGAATTATTAATTTAAAACTAAGAGAAACTAAATCAAAATTTTAACTTATTTAGTCAAAATGAAGTGATAGAAAGTAAAATTTATGTTGTACAAAGTCAGACTTATGAAATAATACGTCAAATTATGTCATAGTAAGTCAAACTGTTGACTTACTGAATCAGAATTAGGAAATAAGTCAAATTTAAGTGATACAACATCAGACTTACGTTATTGTAAGACAAAATGTTGACTTATATCAAAATGATGTTGAGATGAAAAGAATGATTATGTAAAATCACATCAAAATGATGTGATATTAGGCATAAGACAAAATTAGTTGACACAAAGTCAATAATTTTCACTTATTAAGTCAGAATTAAGAGATACAGGTTCAAACTTGTGTGATACAAATGTAAAGATGTGATTTCATGTACATGTGGTGTGTTTGGTGAAACGACTCGTGGCTGATAACTGCAGAGAGGCTGCAGACAGATGCTCCCCTGCAGAAAAACAGGGACACAAAGGTCACACAGGTCACCTCGGGTCACTGATGACTCTGTAAATATGACGGCTCAGCGCAGTGAGGTGAAGCAGGAGGAGGACAGATGTGACCTGATGTGTGACAGCCAGAGACAGTGAGGAGTTAATGTGAGAATATTATTATCATCATGACAGAGCTGACATGCACAGTACGTGAATGCAGCATATGGACTGTGTGTGTGTGTGTGTGTGATTAGTGTGTGAGAGTGAGATCCTGAGAGGGGGGTGCGTGTTTGTGCGTGCACGCTCACCCTCTGCCCTACTTTCTGACTGATGATGCTGCAGAAAGGAGGAGGAGAGGGAATATCCCACAATGCCGCGCTGCTCGTCCCGTGGGCCGGATGGATGGACGGACGGATGGATGGAGGGATGAGCTTATAGATGGATGGATGCTGCGGTTAGTTGAAGTCCCGCACACACTGAACGTGTTAATTGTCGCCGCCCTCGCGCTTTCGCAGTTTTTAAAACCTGTCGTGTTACACAAAGAATAAAATACTCCACTTCCGGTCACATCTTTAAAAATAAAAGCTTCTTAAAAACAGAACCAAATCCCAAGAAAAATTGTTGTGCAGCAGTTGCAGCACAAAGTAGAGTGAGTGCAAATATAAAATATCAATAAGGTGCAAATACAGACTGCAATAATAAATGATTATGTCCAAGAAATGAGTCAGAGAGTTATAATTAAAGTAAGGATGTTAATGTTTGGACACCACTTGTGGCCACAGTGACTTCACCCCACACTTCTGCAAGTTAATTACAAACAAAGGTTTATTTATTTAACAGGGACAGTGCACTGCTAATTAGCTGCACCAGAGACAGCTTTAAGCTAATTTTCATCTGTAGTCCCTGGGCAGGAAACAGAATAATTTCTCTGCTAAAAGACACTATTGTCTTAAACTTTAAAATAAATAAATAAATAAATAAAATAAAATTAAACAAAATAAAATAAAATGAAAATAATTACAAAGGTTCAATGTTCAATATTTTAAAATTGTTAATCTATTAAAACATTGAAACAAATCATCCAGTTCTGATATCCAATTTATTAAACAACGTTTGCACTTCTAAACTTGAGAATTTACTGTCCTGACATTTATACATGATTAAAATTACTTACTCAATTAATTATTAATTAATTACTACAGTTGTAATTCATTCTTTTTAAAACTTTAAAGAAAATTTTGAATGTATAAAAAGTTTGTAGGCTATTTGTCAAAATAAAAAATAAACAGAAATGGAGAATGGGAGCGTCGCGGCCCTTTGCTGCATGTCAGTCCCCACTCTCTCTCAACCTTTCACTCTCTGTCCTGTCAATAAAGGCAAAAAGCCCTTAAAAATAATCTTAAAAAAAAGAAATTGAGAATGTGTATTTAAAGTTAAAAAAAAGAATACCTTACAACTTTTGACTAAATAAAGAAAATGTGTAGGCGGCAGGGTGGTGCAGTGGTTAGCATTGTCGCCTCACAGGAAGAGGGTTTCTGGCACTTTTTTTGTAATAATAATAATAATAATAATAATAATAATAATAATAATGATAATAATAATGATAAAAATAAAAATGACTTAAGGACACAGAGAAAGGTCCATAACATACCACACAAAAAACCCCATCATCTCTATGTACAACTATGAAAAACTTTTATTTTGAAGGATATGACGCTCTACTTCCTGGATGACGTCCCCAGCTTGACGCGGCTCTCCTCCAGTTGGTTTGGGGCTCGTGAGTGCAGTTCAGTCTGTTGTCCAGGCGGCTGCGCGTGCTGGCGTGCCTGGCTGCAGTATATAAAGGCGGCCAACGGTCAGAAATCACAACGGTCAAGCCGCTCAGAGACGTTCACGGCGCCGCTAACACTCCCCCCCAAAACCCGTACAGTCCTCCGCTCCACCACCGGCACCTGTGTCCCCTCACAAGCCGGCAGAGAGGGGGGTCCAGAGCGGGGCGACACAGCAAGGACCGACCAGCATGGACCCCCAAGCGAAGGAGCGAACCGGCCCGGCGGCGGGGGGCTTCAGCGGGCGCCTGGCCTCTCTGGGAGCCGACGGGGGCGACTCGGAGTCCGGAGCCGGCTCGGAGGAAGCTGGCGTGGGCTGCTGCAGCGACACGTTCAGCAGTCTGCCCGACATGGAGCAGGAGACGCTGGAGGAGAAACTCAGAGGACTGGCGTTTAGAAAACAGACCTCGTATCGGTGAGTGGGGAGGCTGCTGGGAGGATGCTGGGACAGGATACTGGGCAGAGGAGGATATGCTGGTGTTTGTACTGGTCTGTTGTGGATTGTGCTAGCTCTCATGTTTATTTCATGTGAGCTAATGCTGGTGTAAGAATGACATGTAAGCTATCTGAAGCTTATGGACACAGACACAGGGCACGAGCAGAGGAGGGATTATAGCAAAGGTTATTATTTTGCTCATTTATGATTTATAATTCTCATGAAGCTTCACATGCTCTGGTGTGGTAGCTTGTCTGGGCTAGCCATGTTATGGTCATGCTGTCAACAACATGGCACACACACACACACACATACACACCAGCAGCAGCCCATGTCAGTGGATCAAAACAATTTTGCATATGCAATAATGTGTGTGTATGTGTGTGCATCTCTGTTGTGTTGGAGCATGTGAAGGGGGGGGAGGAGAAACAGTATTGATTTTTGGGCAATGTGTGTGTGTGAGATGAGTGTGTATGTGTGTGTGAATGCCAGCAGCAGCCTGACACCCTGGTGCGAATGGCAGCTGCTGTTGATAGTGAAAACTGGCCAGAGCCCAAACACACACACTCTCACTCTCACACAGCAGTTTGGTTGTCAAATGTCACTGACAGGAATGTGTGGCATCTATCTGTCTGTCCATATATCAGTCTGACTGTCTGTCAGCCTGTCAATTTAGTGCTTGTTTTGTGGCTCTGTGTGTCAGCCGAAATGATCTGCGTTTAGAGATCGGATCAATCGTTTTAACTCTGATTGACTTGTTTCGGGGAGCGGTGGCACAGTAGAGCAACAGTTTGTGTGTCTGAAATCACCGAATCCAGGTCAGCATGTAAATACTAGTTGATTTTGGACTCTTTTAAGGTCTAGTGTGTAAGATATAGGATATTTTAATGGCGTCTAGCAGTGAGGATTGCAGAATACAACCAGGTGAAACGTCTCCTGGTTAGAATTCCTTCATTGTTCATTGTTCAGGAGGTTTTTACCAGGGGCTGAATTATCTGCAGAGGTCTCCTCCTCTCCAAAACAAACAGACCAGGTGGATTAAACCAGTGAAAACACTAAATAAAGCAGTTTCATGTTAAAAATCAGTGTTTCTGCTAGGGATAGACCGATATGGATTTTTTAGGGCCGATGCCGATACCGATTTTTTTCCATCACCCTTAGCCGATGACCGATTATGGACTGCCGATTTTCTTGAGCCGATATTTGGGGCCGATACTGCTTTTGCTCCCGCAATTTACATCAATAAAATGACACAATGATAACAAATATTACAGGTCTCAAGTTTAAAATAAGAAACATTTATTGAACAGTAAAAAATACTAAAACAAGATGGAAAGTTGAGGTAGAACAGGTAGAATATTATTATTATTATTATTATTATACATTCAAATAAAAAAAGAGTTCAGTGCTCTTAAATCTTCCAGTAATGTATTTATAAAATAAACAAATATTTAAGCTGAAGCATAAATAAAACAACAACTACTGTACACAGTAGGATTCGCTGCCTGTGGATGCCTGTCTGTAAATCATGCCAGGGAAAAATAAATCCGTGAACCCATGTGCGTATCGGCCGATGCCGATACAAGTAAAAAACTCAAATATCGGCCCGATATATCGGCCGGCCGATGTATCGGTCTATCCTTAGTTTCTGCTATGCTGTTTGGCATGTTGCAGATGGGCTGCTAGCCCATCGACGGCTTATATGTGCTCACCTTTTTTTTGATCAAAACATTCAGGAAGATTTAACCAGGAGCCCAGTTATCCTCAGAAGTCTCTTCCTCTCCAAAACACACAAACCCATTGACTTAAACCCATAAAAGCACTAAATGAAGCAGTTTCATATTTAAAAAATCAGTGTTTATCCTATGCTGTTCAGCTTGTCATATAGAGGCTGCTAGCCCAGCTCCTGCTAATGTGTGCTCACCTTTTGTCTCTAATAACTTAAGCTCCAGATGTTCAAGAGGTCTTTACCAGGAGCTGAATTATCAGCAGAGGTCTCCTCTTCGTCAGATAAAACAGATCAGGTGATTTAATGTGGTACAAACACTGAATAAAGCTGTTACATGTTAAAAATCAGTGTTTCTGCTATGATGTTCGGCTCTTCAGAGACGGTTGTGTTTAGGTTGTGTTTAGTTTGTCCATTATGGGCTACTGTAGAAACATGGCAAAGAGACATGGTAATCTCTGTGGACGTGGACCTCCTCCATATTTAGATATAAATGGCTCATATGAAGGTAACAGAAACACAACTATTTTTATTTTTTGGTGATTATACTCAAAATAAAAAACACTTATTATTTTATATTCCATTCATGCCAATATGTCCTTCTAAATCCTACACACTGGACCCTTTATACTTATTTTCACGTTTCATCATAATCTATTTATTTTAATTTGTGGGAAAGCAAAATATGTGTTCTCTAAATTATAGACAATATTAAATAAATTTCAGATAAATGTAAAAGGAAAGGTTCATATTAGATTACATGGGGCCTTTTGTTTCACCAGTAATTAACGTGTAAATCAGATTAAATATGCATCGTGTAAACACATTAAAACATAATGAACTGGCCATTTTGGGACGGATATTCATCTCATTTGAAAAAGGGATGGTGCAGTATAATCCTATTATAATCCATTTGGCAGATCATAATTTGTCCGGTTTATTATACTCATTTTTTTCTCTTTTTTAACGCCCACGTGAGCTACATGTAGTGTAAGGCAAATACATTACCAAGGCAAGACTCACCGCTCTTTCACTTTTATTGTGTCACCATTTTTCTCTCTCTTCCTCTGGGTGTTTTCCACCGGGGGGGAAACCGTCCTTGGTTAAGTGAGGTTTCCAGGAGATTGTGCATCGCGGGGAGTGCCGCAGCTGGTTGGCCCTGTCCAATTTTATAACAGCAGGGGTAGTTTGTTCTGATAAATCTGTTGCCTCAGTCAAACAACACAAAAACACAGCAGTAAACTGGTGAATGGGTGGATTTGGAATATTGGGCATGTCAGGGCTGACTTCAATCCACAGAACTCCAAGTCTTTCACAGATTTCTATGTTTTATTATCATCTGACTGCCATAATCTGTGCTGCTGAGTTTCAGCATGATGTTTCATTATTTATTCAACATAAATCCAAGAGATGAGTGACACATTTGGGGTGTTTAGAGCTGTGCTTGTAGATACACTAAATCTTCCAGGTTTATTTTGTGTATAACACCAACAGACATATTCAAATCCAGTCAGATATGAATGTGTGAAAAAGACAAAACGTTCATTTTTGACATGTGGGGAGCTGTTAGCAATGCTTCAGATATTTCGACTTACTTCTGCCTGTATAATGGTCACTGATGAGTCACTGAGACTTGGTGTTCTGCAAAACGATTTTCGATTTGGCCATTAAAAGCATCTTAAGGGACTATATTTGTCAGGTTGCTCTTAAAGCTGTTGTAACAGCTGTTGGACCTGTTTGAATGTGTGCAGTCGAGCGGCAGACTACACCTCAAAATAACCGACTGTCACTTTCTTGCAGAGAGTTAGACGAGGACTGATGCAGCCAGTTAGCTTAGCTTAGCATAGAGACTGGAAACGGAGGGAAACAGCTAGCCCGGCGCCGTCCAAAGATGAAACAAATCTGCCTCCCAACACCTCTGAAGCCCACTAAATGACAGACTTTGTTTAATCAGTGGTTTGTGGTTGTGGTTTTGAAGGGGATTATGTGCTGGACTGTGTCTTCTCTCTGCCGGTTGCCTGGCAACCTCAGTGAAGACGATGCTGTATTGGATATTTCCCACTGTTCCTTTTCTGTACAAACTGGAGTCAGATACTAGAGCTGAACGATTTTTAAAGTTTTTATTCGACTGATATTGATGTTGCGATATGATTTGTGGTGTCAGGTGGAGTGATCATTTCTAAATCATTATTCTCACTTTCATTAGAAAACATGTTAGAATGATTATGGTGTGATTTTTGCTGTAATTTGCACCAAACAAAGATGTTTTTTGAAGTCTGCAGAATATGATGTGTGGGACAGGACATCTCAGGACATCTCTGCAGCACAGAAACATTTCTGTAAAACTTTTTTTTTTTGACACGTATTTTGCCTTTAACGAATATTTGGAAAACAACGCAGTATCTCCAAACAGCCATAAAACACAGATTAACAACAGCATGGTTTAACAATGGTATCAAATTCAGCTCAGTAGTAACTGTCAAAGTTCATAGTTCATGGACAAAGCAACTGTTTTCGCTAGTGACCCATTATTAGCTTTAGCATGTTTACATTGCATACATTAGCTTAGCAGCTAGCTGACTTTTTTCCGCTACTCATAGCTTAACAAACCACATGTAACGTTATGATTTTTCTAACTCATTGTTGGTTAAAGTCACCAGCTCCGTTGAATTTCAGCCTGTATGCACGTTTTTTCAGCCCAACATTGTTAAAACACAGCGGCTAATGTTGCTGTAGTGACAAGATAGCGGAGCGAGATGGCCGTTCAGGCGGGTAATGGGTAACGCTACGTTGTGTTTTATCTCGTAATGGCATTGTTTATGTACGGCATGTGTTCTGTCTGTTGTCTCCATTTTTTGTCGTAATCCAAATTATTTCCACACTACTGATTTATTCCCAAGTAAATAATGTTATTCTCATTGTCTTTATCTTGGCTGTTTGACGGTGGCACAGACTGTCTAAATAAAAGCGTATCCTAAAGATGACACTAGCTATGTTTCCATCCAAAAGTGATTTGAATCATTGGGAAATGCGTATTAAAAGAAATACGAATCCTGTGTGTTTCCATTAAATGTACGGACTTTGGTGAAAACTATGAACTCGCGTGAGTTTTCCGCAGAACCGGAAACAAAACAAGTCTTGCATTCTTCTTCTTCTACGTTTTCTGGCGGTTGGCAACCAGCTTGTAAATGCATTACCGCCTTCCCGACCCAGAGTGTGGATATAACTATGGAGAGAAGTGCGCTATGTCAGA